CCTATCGTCTGACGACGTCACGGTGGACGCGCCTTGGAGCACGCTACAGGACGCGGACCTGCGACTGATGACGCCCGCGACGGTCACGCGCACGTGGACGGCGACACCTTCGAGGTTGCGGTCGCCGACCCGCCGCGCGGCATGCGCGCCGTCGAGCGAGTGCGCCTGATGGGCATCGATACCCCGGAGATGGGCGAGCCGCTGGCCGCGGAGGCGCTTGCGCATGTGGAGCGCAGGGCAGGCGCCGGGCCGGTGTACCTGGCGTTCGACTTCCGGCGCGCCGCGACCGGTACGACCGCCTGCTGGCCTTCGTCTACCTGCCCGACGGCACGCTGCTGAACGCCGAGCTGATCGAGACCGGATTCGCCGTCGTCTATCGCGGCGATGACCTGATGTACTTCCTGGCTCAGTTCGAGGACCTGGAACGGGAAGCCCGTACGCGGCAGCTCGGCGTGTGGCAGGGCCGTGCCGGCGCGGGCGTGATCATCGTGGACATCGCCAACAACCGCCGCGACGAGCACGTGCTCCTCCGCAACGACGGATCGGCCGCGGTGGACATCTCCGGGTGGCGGATCTGTGACGATGACGGCGACGTGCTGGTGCTCCCTCGCGCGTGGCCCTGGCCCCCGGAGAGACCCTTGCCGTGGGCAGCGGCACCGGCTGCGTCGAGACCCATCACCCCTGCCAGCAGGTCTCGAAGAAGAACATCTGGGGCAACCCCGGGGATGTGGCGTGCCTCAAGGATCGCTCGGGAAACGTCGTCGATGCCTATGCGTACGGGAACCAGACGGCTGACACTTGCGCATCCTGAGCGCACGCCGCTCGACGGCCGCGGGACGGTCGTCCACTCCTACCGCTACTGACTCCGGTCGATGACGACGTGAGTGACAGGCGAATGCTACTGCTTGGTACAGGCAGTGAGTAGCGCGGCCCCACCGACCAGGCGCCGCGCGCTCAGCCCCGCGCAGCGGAGCGCCGCGCAGCACGCCTTCCAGCTCTTCACCCTGTCCAACGTCTGCGCGTTCCAGTGTCTGTCGGGCAACCTGATCACCCTGTACGGACTGCGCATGGGGCTGGGCACCGTGATGCTCGGCGCCCTGTTCGCCGTCATCCCGCTGTCCCAGTTCATGCCGATCATCGGCCGGCTGTTCGTGAATCGCTTCGGCAACGTGCGGTCCATGGGTGTGTTCTGGACCGCACGCTTCATCATGGCCGCGCCGCTGCTGGTCGTGGCGCTGTTTGCCGGCGCCGGTCAGACCTCCGTCGCGGTGGCCCTGCTGTTCATCGGCGTGCTGGGCTTCAACCTGGCGCGCGGGGCCGGCATGACCGGCATGCAGCCGGTCATCGGCCACCTGACCACGCCGCAGGACCGCGGTCTGTTCATGTCGCGGATGCAGCTCATCATCCACGGCGTGATCGTGGTGACCGGCCTGCTGATGGGTCTCATCCTGGACCGGGAATCGCCGCTGGTGGTGTACACCATCATCATGGCCGTGGGCGTGGTCAGCGGCGGCATCGCCACCCTCTACGTGGTCCGCCTGCCGGAGCCGCCGCGCGAGGAGCGCGCCGGCCCACTTCTGGGGGCCGCCGTCGGGGCGCTCCGCGACGCCACCATGCGCCGCTTCCTGATCCTGATCCTGGCGGTGTTCGCAGGCTCCTTCATGGTCGGTCCGTTCTTCATCGTGTTTCTGCGGCAGGTCTACGGCATGGGCGACGACGCGATCATGCTGGTCACGGTGATCGGCTCCTTCGGCGCCATCTGCATGGCCCTGCTCAGTGGCCTGATGACCGACCGGATCGGCGCACAGCCGCTGCTGGTCGTGTCGGCCTGCGTGATGGCCGCGGTGATGCTGCCGCTGGTGGTGGCGCCGCCCCTGCCCGCGACCGCCGCATGGGCGTACGGCGCTGCGGTGTTCTTTCTGTTCATGCTGGGGACGAGCGGGCTGCAGAGCGCCTCCACCGTCTACTTCCTGTCGATCTGCAAGGTCGAAGAGCGGCTCAACGTGGGCATCCTGTACCTCATGGCCACCGGGCTGGGGGGCACGCTGGGCTCGCTGGCCGGCGGCGCGCTGCTGGATCTGCTGGGGCGCGGACTCGGGGTGACCGGCTCGTTCCGCGCCTACTTCGCGGTGCTGACGGTACTGTTCGCGGCCGTCGGCATCGGCATGGGCGGGCTGGAGCGGCTGGGCGCCTACCGGGCGCGCGACGTGCTGTCGATGATCTTCTCCATCCGCGACCTGCGCGCGCTGGGGCTGCTCAACCGGCTGCAACGGGTCCGCAGCCCGTTCGAGGAGGAGCATCTCATCCAGGAGCTCGGTTCGTCGCGCTCGCGCGTTACCGCCCGGGATCTGCTGCGCAAGCTGTCCTCACCGCGGTTCGCCGTACGCGCCGAGGCGCTGACAGCGCTCAGCACCGTGGACACTCGCGAGGATCTGGCCCCGGCGCTGATCACCGAGGTGCGCGAGCACCATTTCACCACCGCCTACCTTGCCGCCGAGTTGGCAGGCAAGAAGGGCGTCACCGAGGCGATCCCCGCCCTGCGGGAGAGCATTGGCTCCCGCGACTTCTTCCTGGCCGGCAAGGCGATGGTGGCCCTGGCGCGGCTCGGCGACCGGTCGAGTCTGGCGCAGATCGAGCAGGTCCTGGCCGACACCGAGAACCCGCGGCTGATCATCCACGCGGCCACCGCCCTGGAGCTGTTCGGCAGCGCTGGCTCCGTCCCGGTGCTGGTGGCCAAGTTGCACCGCAGGTTCGCCCCCTACGTGCGCGACGAGCTGATCCTGGCGGTCGCGGCAATCCTGGGCGCCGGCAGCTTTCTCTACTCCCACTACCGGAGCTTCCTGGACTCCGCCTCCGCCGGTGTGGACAGCCTGCGCGACGAGTTGGCAACGAAGCGATCCTCACCGGCGATGCGTGAACGGGTGGAGAAGATGCTGGAGCTGATCGGCGAAGACCGCACGCGCTTTGCGCAAGCCGCTGCCTCGCTGCTTCCCCTGCTGGCCGAAACGCTCGACGCCCGGGCGGCCGAGCAGCTCTCGACCGGCCTTGCCGACCGGGAAATCCTGGCCCTCGATCGCTTCCGCTTCCTGGTGGCCGCGCTGATCACCTGGGCGGTGAGCCGGCTGCCCGCCTCCGAACCGGCGCGGGCAGCGCGACCGGACCCGACATCGGTATGATCGGCGTCCCATGAGCGATTCCGCGCCGGACCCGGGCACCCGGCCGACGTCGTTCGTCGCGCGCATCGAGGACGGCGCGATCATCGTCGCGCTCCTGCTGCTGGCGATCGTGCCCACGGCGCAGGTAATCACCCGCCTGCTGTTCGACGCCGCCCTGCCAAGTGCCAACGACTACATCAAGCATCTGGTGGTCTGGGTCGCCTGTCTGAGCGGCCTCGTCGCCACGCGTGAGCGCCACCACCTGTCGCTGAGCGCCGGTCTGCCCAAGCTGCCCTCCCCCTACGACCGCTGGGCCGTGCTCGCCGCCACGACCATCACCGTCGCCGTCACCACCGCGATCACCGTCAGCGCCGCTTCGTTTACCCTGATCGGCTTCGATCCTCACGCACGGGTCGGGGTGCTGCCCAAGCGGGCGGTGCTGGCGATCCTGCCGATCGGCTTCGGGCTCATGGCGCTGCGCACGGCGGTCGCCTCCGCCCGGCCGAAGGAGCAAGACCGTTCGGGATCGGCGGGAATCGCGGCAGCCGTGCTCGGCGGTGTGCTGGGCACGGTCTTTGCGCTCCAGCCGCTGGTCACCCTGATCATCGAACTCTCCTGGGAGATCGGCTCGGGGCTGCCGGCGCTGGAGGCTCCGCTCCTGGATCTTGCGGACACCGTGAGCGGCACGGTGCGGTCGCTGCGGGTGCCGCTGTTGATCGTCATGATCGTCTCGGCCGTGGCCGGCGTGCCCATCTTCGCCGTGCTCGGCGGCATCGCGCTGCTGATGTTCGCCTCCAACGGCGTGCTGGAGACGGTCCCGGACGAGGCGTACGTGATGCTCATCGGCGCGCACGTGCCGGCGCTGCCGCTGTTCGCGGTGACCGGGTTCGTGCTGTCGGAGAGCGGCGCCGGGCGGCGGCTCATCGAGCTGTGTACCGCCGTGTTCTCCCGGTTCCGGGGCGGCCTGATCATCGCCGCGACGCTGATCTGCGCCTACTTCACCACCTTCACGGGAGCCTCCGGGGTGACCATCCTTGCCGTCGGCGGGCTACTGGCGGCGCTGCTGGCGCAGAGCGGGTTTCGCAAGGACCTGTCCACCGGGCTGCTGACCGCCTCCGGCAGCATCGGCCTGCTGTTCCCGCCCAGTCTCCCGATCATCATGTACGGCGTCGTCAGCCAGAACAACATCAAGGCGATGTTCGCCGGCGGCATCGGGCCCGGCATCCTCATGGTGTTCGCGGTGATCGCCTTCGCGCTGGTGCGTGCCCGGCGCATGGCACGGAACTCCCCAGCCCCGGACGCGGCGCAGCCGCCGCGTGCGGCGCCGGCCGACGCCGGTTCGGGCGACCCCGTCCCGCTGCGGACGGTCGGCCGCGCGCTGCGCCACGCCGGCTGGGAGGTGGCGCTGCCGTTGATCATCCTGGGGCTGCTGTTCGGCGGCATCACCACCCTGGTGGAGACGGCCGCGGTCGCGGTCGTCTATCTGCTCGTGGTGCAGATATTCATCCATCGTGACCTGTCCGTGCGCGACCTGCCGCGCCTGTTCGCCAGGGCGGCGCCGATCATCGGCGGCATCCTGGTCATCCTGGGGGTAGCCAAGGCGCTGTCGTTCGCGATCGTGGACGCGCAGGTGCCGCAGGCGCTGGTGCAGTGGTTCTCCGACCACGTGCGCTCGCCCTACACGTTCCTGATCCTTCTCAACCTGACGCTGCTCATCGCCGGCTGCCTCATGGACATCTTCTCTGCCATCGTCGTGCTGGCGCCGCTGCTGATCCCGATCGGCCCTGTCCTACGGGCTGGACCCGGTACATCTGGGGATCATCTTCCTGGCCAACCTGGAGCTGGGCTATCTGACCCCGCCGGTGGGCTTGAACCTGTTCCTGGCCTCCTACCGGTTCGAGATTCCGCTCACCAAGCTGTACCGATCCACCTTCCCGTTCCTGTTGATATTGCTCGTGTCGGTTCTGGTGATCACGTACTTCCCCCCCTTGACCACCACGCTGGTCAGACTGATGGGTCTGTGAATTGACGCCACCGGCACGGCGGGCGACGATGGCCGCGGTCATGGTGCAGGAAAGACCGTCAGGAACCGGCGGACAGAGCGGCAGTCCGCAGTGGCGGAGGACCGTGCTCCGTGCATGCGCGGGCCTGTTGCTGCTGGCCTTGACGGCAGCCGGCGCCGGTGCTCAGAACCTGAAGTTCGCCAGCTTGGCGCCGGAGGAAACGGTATGGGTCTCCGCCATACGTCAGATCGGCGAAGAGTGGCACCGGCTCTCAGGCGGATCGATCGACATGACCGTTTTCCCGAACGGCGTGGCAGGGGACGAGACCGACATACTGCGCAAGATCCGCACCGGCCAGTTGCACGGCGGCGCCATTTCGGCGCTGGGTCTGGCTGACCTGTACCCGGGCGTTCTGGCGCTCGGCATGCCGTTCATGTTCGAGAACCAGGAAGAGCTCGACTACACGACCGAGCAGCTCCGCCCGTTGATGGAGGAGGAGTTCGAGCGCCGCGGCTTCAAGGTGCTGATGTGGACTGCCGCCGGCTGGGTGTACTTCTACTCCCGCGAACCCAGCCTCATCCCCGCCGATCTCCAGCGGCAGAAGCTGAACGTCCCGGAGACCAATCCCGCCGTCGTTTCCGCGTGGCAGGACGCCGGGTTCCGGATCGCGGAGGTGTCCGGCAACGAGCTCATGCTCGGCCTGCAGACCGGGCTGGTCGACGCCGTGTTGAACAGCCCGCTCATCGTCGGTGCGTTCCAGTGGTTCGGCGTCGCCAAGCACATGAACGCGCTGGCGATCGCCCCATTCTACGGCGCGCTGGTGATCTCCACGCGCACGTGGCGGCGGTTTCCCCAGGATCTCCAGGGCCCGCTTCTGGCGGCCGCGCAGGAGATCGGGCAGGCGGCGGCCACGGAAGCGCTCGCTACCGAACGGAGTGTCATCGAGCTCATGCGCCGCTTCGGTCTGGTGATTCACGAACCGACGGCGGAGCAGGCGGCTGCATGGCGGGTGCTGCAGAGCGGCTTCGAATCTCTGGTCGGGCCGGTGGTGGACGAGCGTGCCTTCCAGATGGTCACCGAGGCTCTGGCCGACCACCGTGCCGGGCGTGCGACCGCCTCACCGTAGCGTCGACCGGGCCCGGCGGTACGCCCGCACCGTCCGCTCGATCCCTTCCCGGTAGCCGGTCGCCGGCGCATACCCCAATACCGCTCGCGCACGGGCGATCGAGAAGTGGTAGTCGTGCGCGGTCTGCGCGACCCGATACACGGTCAGCGGCGGCTCGCCGGCCGCCGGCACGGCGCGGTACACGCGCTCGACCACGCGGGCCGCGGGCAGCGCCAGCCCCGCCGGCACCGGCCAGCGCGGCGGTTTGCGGCCCAGCAGCGCGGCGGCGTGCAGCAGGAGCTGTCGCCAGCGCACGCGTTCGCCCCCGGTCACCAGCAGCACCTCGCCGGCCGCGGATTCCGCCTCCAGCGCCAACTCGAAGGCGCGGGACACGTCGTCGATGTACACCGGGCAGGTCAAATGGCGGCCGGCGTCCACGAAGGCGGGCAGACCGCGGTCGATCGCCTGCAGGATCCGATAGAAGCTGGTGGTGTCGTCGGGGCCGTAGACGTTGCCCAGGCGCAGCACCACGGCATCGGGCACGAGCGCGCGCACGCTCCGTTCGGCGGCCAGCTTGCTCTCCTGGTAGGGGTTGACCGGCGGATAGAACGGACCCTGCTCCGTGGTGTCGCGATGCCGGCCGAAGCCGTGCACGGCCGCCGAGCTGGCGTGCACGAAGCGGCGGCAGCCGGCCTGCGCTGCGGCCACCCGGCACAGACGCGCCGACAGCTCGGCGTTGTGGCGGCGGAAGTGGGCTGATGTTCCCCAGTCGCTCACCGCCCCCGCGCAGTGCACGGCCGTCGCCGCCCCCTGCAGCGCGGCGCGCGCGCCGCAAGCCCGGCTCAGGTCGTGGCCCCGCAGGCAGACCCCGGCCTCCGCCAGCCGCCGCATCCGTTCCGGCGGACCGCCGCGAAAGTAGATGCCGCGCACCCGGCGTCCGGTCGCGGCCAGGTGGATCGCGAGCGCGGAGCCGACGAACCCGGACGCACCGGTCACGACCGTGTCGACGGTGGGCTCCCGCCCCATGCGTGCAGCGTGGCCCGACGGTACGCACGCGGCAAGCGGCGAAGGTGGCTTGACGCCGCGAGCCCGGCTCATGCATCGAGTAGCTCCTGATGAACACCACCAGCTCGCCGACCGGACCGCCCCTCGCCATCTCCGGGGAGCAGATCGACCGCTACCATGACGAGGGATACCTGATCCTGGAGCGCGTGATCGACGACGACACGCTGCAGATGCTGCGCGAGGAATGCTCGTACTTCATGGGATACCTGGACGCGGAGATGGACGCCGAGGGGGTCGAGCAGCGGGGAATCAACCAGCGCCGCAACCGCTACTTCATCAGCAACCGCTACCACCTGAGCCCGCGGCTGTGGCGGTTCGTCTACGGCGACCTGATGGCGCGGGTATGCCGGGCGGCGCTCGGCCCCGACGTCTACCTGTTCAACGAGCAGTGGGTGGTCAAGGCGGCCGACACCGGCAGCGCGTTCGCCTGGCACCAGGACTCCGGCTACGTGAAGAACCGCTACCGGCAGACCACCCACCGGCCGTACCTGTCCTGCTGGTGCACCCTGGACGACGTCGACGAATCCAATGGGACGGTCCATGTCCTCCCCCACTCGCGGGGTGGCACCAAGGCCATGATCATGGATCACGTCCGCGACGAGGTGGACCACGACCTGGTGGGCTACCACGGCGATGATCCGGGGATTGCGATGATCGTCCCGGCCGGCTCGGTGGTGGCGTTCACCAGCTACAACTTCCACCGCTCCGGGCCGAACACCACCGGCCGGATGCGTCGTGTCTACCTTACGCAGTACAGCGCGGAGCCGATCCGGGGACCGGAGGACGGTCTGTGGGCGCAGGCGGTGCCGTTCGTACGGGACGGGGCCGTCGTGTACGACCACGACGCCGATCTGGCCGAACGCGCCGGTCGCGATTGACCGACGACCGCGATCAGCGCGCGATCATGATCGACAGATCCAGGGCGATGCCGGCGGCGGCGTGGATGAACAGCCCCGGCAGGATCGAGCCGGTGCGGGCCGCCAGCATCCCCAGCGCCAGGCCGAACGGAAAGGCGGCCGCCAGCTCCATGGCCGGATGGCCGATGTGCAGCAGGGTGGATGCGAGCGCCTGCGGGGTGGCGGCCAGCAGCACTCCGGAGGCCCCGGCGCCGCGACGCGGCAGCAGCGGGAACAGCAGCGCCCCGCGGAACGTCAGCTCCCACGGCAGGTAGTAGCAGCACAGGTACGCCAGCGCGTGCGCGGCCACACCCAGTGGTGACCGCGCCAGTTCCAGGGTGTCGGGCCGCCCGAAGGGGTAAAAGGCGGCGAGCTGCGGATTCCTGTGGGAGAGGAAGCCGATCAGCGCGCGATCGCACACGCGAACAGCACCGCGACCGGGCGAATGCGCTTCGCCCTGCGCAGGCCGATCTCGTGCAGGCGGCGGCCCCTGGCGCGCAGGGCCAGCGCCGGCGCCATGCCCAGCAGCACCGCGGCAGCGGCGAAGCGCAGTCCATAATCCAGCAGCGGCGCCGGTTGCGCACCCGCCACCAGCCGGGCCAGGGGTGCGGCGCCGGGCGGCGTGACCGCGAGCGCGAAGAGAGTCAGCCCCACCGCGGCGGTCACGACGACGGCCGCCAGATCGGAACGCCGCGACCAGTCGATCAACGCGTTTCGGCCACCGCCGCGATCACCGCCTCGGCTACCTCGCCGGCACCGGTCGGCTTGGGAGCCTTGGCCAGCGCCCGCCGGGCGGACGCCACCTCGCCGTCGACCAGCGCGCGCCGAACCGTGTGTGCGAATTCACGCGCCGACGGTGCGTACCATCCATAGCCGTTGCGGACGACGAAATTGCGGCTGTGACGCTCGTTGGGGGCACCCACCTGCGTGATCACGAACGGCCGGCGGGCCGCTATCACCTCCAGCGTGAAGAGAATCCCGCACTTCCCGGCGGCCACATCGGCAGCCGCCAGCAGCACCTCCATGTCGTCTCGAAACGGCAACGGAATCACTCCGTCGCCGGCGAACCGCTGCGCAAGATGGCGCCGCAGCGCGGTGTTGCGGCCGGTAGCGACCATCACCACGGCGTCCGGCACCGCACGCGTGCACGCCTGCACGAATGCCTCGGCGTCGCCGATTCCGGCGCCGCCCAGGCCGTAGAAGACCACCGGACGGCGTTGGTCGAGCTGCAGGCGGCGCCTCGCCTCCGCGCGATCCGGCACCTCCAGGAATCGCTTGTGCGCAATGGGCGCCACCAGTTCGATGCGCGACACGGCCACGCCGGAGTCGCGTACCGCGGCGGCCGCCGCGTCGCCCATGACGAAGTAGCGGTCGGCGCCGCATGCCAGCAGATGATGGGGTCCTCCCAACTCCGTAAACACGTAGAACAGCGGCGGCCGGTGGCGGGCCTTGCGCCGGGCGAGCGCGAAAACATGGGCGGTGCCCCAATGGGTTGCCAGCACCACCGCCGGCCGGCGCGTGTCGAGCAGCTCACGCGCTTTGGGAACCGCTTCCGATGCGGCCAGGCGGTTCACCATCCGGCTGAGCCCCGGAAAGGCCGAGTCGCCGGCGAAGGCCAACTGGCCGACGCGGCGATAGCGCAGGATCCAGTCCCAGGAGGAGATGTAGAAGCTCTCCGTGCGCCGGCCGCCGAGCGTGGCCGCGTCCACCAGCTCCGCTCCGCAGCCGCGTTCCTCCAACGCGGCGCCCACCGCGCGCGCGGCCGACAGGTGACCGGCCCCGGCAGCGAAATACGGCACGATGACCGGCGCGTCTGCGCCGTCACGCCGCGTCACGGATGGTCCGGGTTGCTAAACGACGGCCAATCGGACGGCTCCTTGCCGAGGCAGAGGTTCGCAAGGTCCAGCGATTCACCGATCACGACGTGCATGTCCAGGTATCGATACGTCCCCAGCCGACCGATGAAGGTCAGTCCGGGTGTCCGTTCGGCAAGCGCGCGGTACCGCGACAGTCTGCTCCTTGTCTTCTTGCAGCCGCATCGGGTAGTACGGAGTGTCACCCGGCTCCGTCGCCTTGCTGTACTCGCGAAAGCAGATGGTTCCCGCGTGATCTTCCCACGGCGCGAAGTGCTTGTGTTCGGTAATCCGCGTATACGGCACCTGCTCCTCGCAATAGTTTATGACCGGATTGCCCTGATAATCGCCGCTCTCATCGAAGCGCTCGAACACCAGACTGCGATACTGCAGCCTGCCGTGACGGTGCTCGAAATAGCCGTCGAGGGGGCCGCTGTAGAAAACATGGTCGAACTCGCTCTGCAGGTCACGCGCGAACGGTTCCCCCAGCCTGACCTCGATACGCGGGTGGTCGAGCAGCTTCTCCACGATGCTGGTATATCCATCGCGGGGGATGCCCTGGAAGGTATGGTTGTAGTAGTTGTCGTCGTAGTTGAATCGGACCGGCAGCCTGCGCAGGATCGACGCGGGCAGCTCGGTGGGCTCGACCCCCCACTGCTTGCGCGTATATCCATAGAAAAAGTTCCGATAGAGGTCACGTCCAAGGAATTTCAGCGCCTGCTCTTCGAAGTTTTGCGGCTCGCCGATGCTGGTATCGCCGAGCGTGGCGACGAACGCACGCGCGTCCTCCGGGGAGAATCGTTTGCCGAAGAACTGGTTGATAGTGAGCAGATTGATCGGCAGGGAGAACACCCCGCGGGCGGTGACCGCTTTCACGCGGTTGGTAAACGGCATCATCGGCGACAGATCGCGGACGTAGTCCCAGACTTCCTCGCGGCTGGTGTTGAAGATATGCGGACCGTAGCGATGCACCATGATGCCGTTGTCGCGGCTGGTATGACAGTTGCCGGCGATATGATCGCGGCTCTCGAAGACGGTGGCGCGATACGCGCCGCGCGTCACCAACTGCCGGGCCAGCACGGCGCATGCGAACCCCGCTCCGGCGAAACCGATACTACGCAATTACTTATCTCCCTATAACCATGGTAGCCGCATCGGCGGCGGGACGCAACGACACGAGCAGGATGCCCATGCACGCCGGCCCGTCACCCCGCCATCCCGTGACGGAGCGGGTACGGCGGAGCACCGGCGTGCTACGCTGCCGGCCACAGGTTGAGCGCGGCGACATGAGGGTCCTGGTAACCGGCAGCAACGGCTTCATCGGCTGGCACACCTGCAAGCGACTGGTCGATCAGGGCGTCGACGTGATCGGCGTGGACGATTTGTCCGAAGGCGCGGCGGACAATGCCGTGGCCGGCGTGCGGTATCACACGCTCAGCGTCGCGGATGCCGGCGAGATGGTGCGGCTCATGCGTGAGGCGCAACCGCAGCCGTGATCCACCTGGCGGCGCGCCCGCGGGTCCGGTTCACGGTCGAGCAGCCGCTGCAGAGCTCCACGGCCAACTTGTTGGGAACCATCGCCGTGCTCGATTCCCTGCTGCGTGCGGAGCTGATCGGAAAGACGCGGCTGGTGTTCGCGAGCAGCAGCGCCGTGTACGGCTTGGCCGACGTGCTGCCCACGCCGGAGACGCACCCGTGCGACCCGCAGTCGCCCTATGCGCTGCAGAAATATCAAGGCGAGCAATGGTGCCGCATGTTTCATCGCCTGTACGGGCTGGATGTGGTGAGCCTGCGGTACTTCAATGTGTTCGGACCGGGCGCGGCGTTCGGCGGCGCGTATTCGTTGGTGTTGTCGGCGTGGCTGTACCACCTGTACGTGGAGCCGTCGTACCGCCCCTACCTGGAAGGGGATGGCACTCAGACCAGGGACTTCTGCTACGTCGAGGATGTGGCGTGGGCCAACGTCACCGCGGCGACGCTCAAGGGCTGCTTCACCGGCGAGGCGCTGAACATCGCTCAGGGCCGCGCCTACTCGTTGCTCGACACCAGGATCATGCTGGAGGAGGTTGCCGGCAGGCAGCTCGATCTCGAGCGGCGTCCACCACGCACCGGCGACGTGCAGCACACGCTGGCCGACATCACGCGGGCACGGGAAGAGCTGGGCTACCAGCCATCCACGGATTTCCGGGCTCAGTTGGAAGCGATGGCGTCGTGGTTCCGGAACTCCCACCCCCGCTGACCTCACCCGCCGCGATAGAGGGCCGCGATCCGGTCGCCGATCCGGTCCCAGTCGAACTGCCGGGCCTGCGCCCGGGCGGCCCGGCCGGCCGCCTGCAGGTCCATCTCGCGCACGCGCCGCAGCGCCGCCGGGAGCGCGCCGGGCTCATCCGGGTCGTAGAGCACCCCCATGGTCCCGTCGATCAGATCCGCCATGCAGCCGCGGCGCGGCAGCACCACGGGCAGCCCGAAGCCCAGCGCCTGGATCGCGCTGCCGGAGGTCATCACCTCCCGGAACGGCAGGACAGCCACGTCCGCGGCGTTGAGGTAGTACTGGAACTCCTCCTCCTCGAAGAAATCGGAGGTGTAGATCCGAATCGAAGGGTGTTCGCGGGCGGCCGCCGTCAACCGGTCCAGCAGGCCCGGCGCCCGCGCGTTGGTCTTCATCATGAGCATCAGCAGATCGCGCGGCCGCGCGATCTGCCGGAAGGCGGCCATGAGCTCTTCCAGTCCCTTGTATCCGCGCAGGTTGCCGAAGAACACGTACACGAACCGGTGGTCGTCGATACCCAGCCGGGCGCGCGCCTCGGGGCGCTGGACCCGGTCGGGAAACACGTCCATGAAGTGGCCGTGCGGGATCACGTGCACCGTCTCGACCCCGTAGCGCCGGGTGAGCTGCTCGGCGCCGTAGCGGCAGTGGGCGATCACCTCGTCCGCCTCCCGCGCCACCAGCAGGTTGACCAGCCGGTCCAGCTCCGGGTGCGGCCGTTCGTGCGGGAACAGGTTGTGCAGGGTCCAGACGATGCGGTAACCGATCCGCTTGGCGTGGATCAGGGTCTCCGCGAAGCGCGCGTAGTCGCCCAGCGCGCCGGCCGGCTCCCCCCGGGTGTAGAACCGGTCCAGCCAGTTCAGGTGCAGGACCGAGTAGTCCGGCCGCGAGCGCTCCAGCCACTCGGCCCCGAACGCGTAGTCGCCGGGTTCCAGGTGAATGTCGTGGCGGCGCAACGACCGCGCCAGCAGCGCGCCGTACTGATTGGAGCGCGTACCGAGCCGCAGATCGTTGCCGGCCTCCCAGAAGAAGAACGCCCTCATGCCCATCGCTACCGGGCTCGCCATGCGGCCCCGTCCGCGTCCGGAGGCTGCCAGCGGCGTTCGCGTCCCTCGCCGCGGATGACCAGCGTGGCCGTTGCCGGGTCCCACTCGACCCGAGCCGGCTCCTCGCCCGCGCGGCCGACCTCGATCACCGTGACGAAGTCGGCGGCCCGCGCCTGCCGGGTGCGAACCAGCAGGTCGGTGCGCTCGGAGGCCGGGTTGAAGGGCGCGTCGCCGACCGCAACCGAGCCGCCCGCCTCGTTCGGGAGGTGCAGGGCGACCCAGCCGGCCGCGGTGTGCCAGAGCGCCGCCGCCGCGCCGGGGGCGACCCCGCTTTCGCGCACGTCGACGTGCGGGAGATCGACGGCCAGGCCGCCCGCGCCGATGCCGCGGAGCCAGGCGAGCGCGCCGCGCACGCGGAACAGCCACTGCACCGTGTGCTCGGCGGGCGCGCGGACAGCGAACAGGTCCAGGAAGTAGCGCCCGGACGACGCCACCGCGCGGGACAGCGCGGTCCCGGAGTAGACGGCGTCCTCCCCGCCGTCGGCGCCGTCGCCGACCCCGAACCGCACCCGCGCCAGCACCTGATCGGGGCCGGGGGGCGAACGCTCGAAGCGGATCAGCTCGCCCCGCGCGGGCGGCTGCGACCGGCGGTCCAGGATCACCGTGTTGTGGCTGAACGACTGCCGGTACCAGGAACGGTGCAGCGGCACCCCGTAGCCGGAGAGCCCAGATCGGGCGAGACCGGCCCGCCGGCCGCATACAGGGACAGCGCCAGCTTGTCCGGATGGCCGTGGCCGCCGCCGGACGGACCGTGCTTGAGCAGCGCCGCGGACGGCTCGGGGGCGCCGTTCCGCAGCACGGTCAGGCCGATCTCCGGCAGGCTGACGCTTGCGGTCCCGACCCCCGCGCCGTGGTCGCCTTTCGCGGCATCGGCGGCCTGCGCCTGATCCGGACCGTACAGGAGCGCCTCCATCGAGTCGCGCGGCGCCCTGCGGTAGTTCTCCTCCAGGACCCGATGGAAGGCGGGATCGGCGAACCAGCCGGCGGCCACCTCGTACAGGGCGCACGCGGGCGGCACCCCGTGGCAGAGGTCGCCGAGCAGCGAGGAGAAGAACCAGCAGTCGTTGGTGGCCGGCAGCCTCCCGTCCGGCATGCGGATCGCCAGCGGCGCGGCGTACATGCGCCGCAGCTCCTCCGCCTGCACACACGCCGGGCGCGCCGTGGCCACCACCGCGGCCAGGGTCGTCAATGCGTGGGCGGCGTAGAAGTGGTAGCTCGACGAGCACTCCCACCACAGACCGTCCGCCAGCCCGTCGCGCAACAGCCGCCGGAAGCCGAAGGCGCCGTCGATCGCCTCGTCAACCAGAGCGTCGTCGCCCACGGCCATGCCGACCGCGGCCAGCGCCGCGTGGTGCCAGCACTCGATGTTGTGCACCTCGCCGAACCGCTGACCGCGGATGTGGTCGGCCGCCGGCCGCAGCAGGCCGCCCTCGATCAGCTCCCGGTCCCCCGGCGCCAGACGCTCGCGGAGCAGGTCGTAGGCGCGGGCCAGCGGCACGATGATGTTGGACTCGTCCAGCGACTGAAACGTGGCCCTGCCGCGCCCGCCGCCGCGCGAGCCGTGCGTCCCCAGCGGATAGGCGGAGTACCACCACAGCGTCGCGCGTAGCGCTAGCACCGTCGTCGGCTGCGTTCGGCTTGCGGCGCTGGCATCCCCGTCTCAGCTCGCCACATCGCTGCTGTCCTGCCGCGACGCCGGCGCGAGCAGGTTGCCGGCGCCGAAGCGCCATGCCTCGTCGAACGCGGATCGCTCCACACGCGCCGTCGACCGGTGCAGCATGCGCGCTGCGCATCGCGCGTGTCGACGCGGGGCGACTCGCAACAGTCCACCATTCCACCGCGTGTCGGGTGCAGAAGTAGTGTGATAGAGCCGGCCGCTCTGTCGGCGGCTCCAGGTCCACCGCGAGCAGGGCGCCGGCACGCCGGCGCAGACCGTCGCGCGCGTCGGCGAACCGCCCGGAACGCCAGCGCGCCTCCGCCCGCTCCACAGCACCGCGTCCGGGATCAGCCGCACGGCGCTACCCAAGAGCCGGCCGTAACGTCTGAGACGACGAGTGGCCGGATGCTAACGGCGGCCATGCGTACCGGCTGGTACGGAGTGGAAGCCCTGCTCCCACGCGATTGCGGCGAGTTCGGGACTCAGACATTCGTCGATCAGGAACCTCACGACTCCTATGTCAGTCTCAGTCAGAGCGGTCAGCTACTCGCTGGAAGTGTGCGGTTGCGTCTTCCTCCAGGGTGGTTCATGGCTCGGCATAACGCGCCGCGGATGTGCTTCGGCATACGCGCAGGCGGCCTGAATCCGGTCTTCGGTCAGCGAGGGGTAGGCGTCAAGAATCGCGGCGACGGTGTCGCCGTTGGCTATCATGTCGGCGATGTCGTGGGCAGGTACGCGCGTCCCCGCGATGCACGGTGTCCCTGAAAGTACCTCCGGGTCTGTGACGACGTGACGTCGCTCATCGTTGCGCCGCTCATCCTGCGGCGTCTCGAACGCGAGGTTCAGCGTATGCGGCCGGCTCTTGCCCTCGGCGAAGAACAGGCCCTTGAAGCGCTCCATCCGCTTGATCCGGTCGATCAACGCCCGTTCCTGCTGCGAGGTCGCAACGTTCGGTACCAGGAAGCGGGCGTCCGCCTCGGTGTCAGGCGCAGCACCAGGTAGTTGGCGATCGCCGAGAACACCGAGCTGTCGAAGTCGCGCGCCTCCTGGGAGGCGAGCACCAGTGAGATGCCGTACTTGCGGCACTCTCTCGCCATCGCCGGGATCAGCTTCAGGCGCGCGGCGCGGTGCGCTTCGTCGAAGATCACCGCGTGGGTGATCCGATCGCGCAGGCCGCGCCGGAACATGTCCTTGTACAGGCCGTAGAACACCAGCGCCGCGAAGGCGCGTTGCAGGTTCTCGTTCTGCGTCGTGTGAACGCGGATCACGGTCGGCTCCTCGTGCTCCCACAGGCTGCGGTGCGATTCCTGGAGGTCGAAGAACCCGTAGTCGTCGAGCTCGTTCAGGCGCGCGAGCAGGGTGCGCAGCCCGCGGTCCGGCTTGGGGTCCGCGCGCAGGAGCTCGACGAAACGAACGAACGGCGGCTCGGCAGCGCCGACGGGCGCCCCGTCTGCACCCCATCCCGCCTCGACGAAGCTTTCTTGACGGCGGTTGCGCATCTCCGCTCGCCCCTGGACAGTCTCCGGCTTCCGGTAGATCGCGGTGTGAGTGTCGCGCATCTCGGCCGCAACATCCAGGTGGGCGCGCCGCGCGCTGCGGTCGATCACCTGCAATGGATGGAAGCCGAGGCCGGCGTCGCAGTCGACGAAACGGACGCCGTCGACCGCTTGCGCCAGCTTCTCGTCGATGTCCTGATGATAATATGAAAGGGTGGGGTGGGGGGTGGGGTGGGGTTGGGTGGGGGTGGTGGTGGGGGGTGTTGGGGTGGGGGGTTTTTTTTGTGGTTTTTTTTGGGTGTTTGCTTTTCTTTTTTTTGTTTTTTATGTTTGTTTGTGGTTTTTTTTTTTTGTTTTTTGTAGTTTGGCTTTTGATTTTTTTTTTTTCTGTTTTTTTTGGTTTTTTGTTTTTTGTTTTTTTTTTTTATTTTTTTTTTTTTCACCCCAACCCCCCCCCCCCCCCCCCCCCCCCCCCCCCCCCCCCCCCCCCCCCCCCCCCCCCGCCCCCCCCCCCCCCCCCCCCCCACCCCCCCCCCCCTTGTTCGTTTTGTATTTTTGTGTTATTGTAGTGTTTTTTTTTTTTTCTTTTTGTTTGTTTTATTTTTATGTGTTTTTTTTTTATGTTTTTTTGTTCTTTTTGGGGTTTTTTTGTTTTGCCCCCCACTCCTCGCCCGCCCACCACCCCCCACCGCCCCCCCCCCCCCCCCCCCCTCCCCCGCACCCCCCCCCCCCCACCCCGGTTTTTTTTTTATTTTTTTTTGTCTTTTTGTTTTCCGCCGCCCCCCCCCCCCCCCCCACCCCCCCCACCCCCCACCCCCCCCCCCCCCCCCCCCCCCCCCCCCCCCCCCCCCTCCCCCACCCCCCCCCCCCCCCCCCCCCCCCCCCCCCCCCCACCCCCCCCCCCCCCCCCCCCCCCCGCCCCCCCCCGCCCCCCCCCCCCCACCTCCCCCCACCCCCCCCCCCGCCCCCCTCCTTCCCCCCCCCGCCGTTTTTTTTTTTTTTTTTTTTGCTTTAGTTATTGGGGGGGGGGGTGGGGGGTGGGGGGGGGCGCACTGCGGCCGACACCATCTTCCGGCACAGGTGCAGCAGACAGGTGGTCTTTCCCATGCCCGGCAGGCCGGCGATCAGCAGGTGGGGATTTGCCCCTGCACCGCAGCGGCCAAAAACCCCCGCACGTCGGCGTTTCTTCGTTTCGCGCGTCGGTGCCGTAAGGAGCAGCGTCGGTCACGGCGCGCTCGGTCGCGGCGGCCGTGGAAGCTTCGGGAGCAGGCGACGGAGGATCCGAGGTTTGGCTGCCTAGGCGTTCGGACGTGCGCGGCATTCACTGGTCCACTCCGCGGCCGTCGGCTCGTCAGTGCTCCGGCTCGGGCGGCTGCC